GTACAAATGTGCTAAAGAAATTATACTTTGAGTATACAGCTTGTCCAAAGTCATCCATTATTAATACTATTAGTAATATCTTCAGTAAAGGCTTTGATGCATAAATATTTCTGATAAAGGTAGGTTGTGTACTTTTGCGACGCAGGATAGTTTCCGGCAGAGCGTCAAATGATACGTGACACCGCGTGATACCGCGTGATACCGCGACACGCCCACCGGGGTATGCCGCGAAATACCTCACCCATTTTGAATGGCTGCATCTGTATGTGCTATTATGGTCATCTAGGACTATTTAATTCATATTTAAACATATAACGGTTTGTTTTGAAGCAAGCAGATGTATAAAACTTGACAAGTAAAAATACAGTATCGGCATCACTTTAATTTCACATATTGTAATATCTGCAACCTACCTGAGTACTTTTTGGCAAATTTGTTATGTCTTAAAATGGAATGTACTGGGAGTGGTGGTGCAGTGGTTGTGCCTCGCAGTACTGTGGCTCTGGGTTGAATTCCGGACCTGGGGTGTTGTCTGTGTGGAATTTGCATGGTCTCTCAGTGTTCATGTAGGTTTACACCAGGTGCTCCAGTTTCCTCCCACAGTCGAAGATGTACCAGTAGGTAAGTTGGCTTCTGTAACAAAAATGATCCCAGTGTGACGGTCCAGGGTGTACCCTGCCTTGCGCTAAATGCCTGCCAATATCCACTGGGATAGGCACCAGCCAGCATGACCCTGAATGGGAATAGTGGCTATTGATAGTGTTGTGAAGACGCTTTGACACAGAATTTGTATTTGTAATTTTGGAATTCATTGTTGAAATAATTCATTTGAAAACGTCTGAGGATTTGCCTCCAGGATTAGTATTTCTGTTCTAAAACTGTTAATCCAAATTTGTACAAATCCATTAAGGAAAAATACTGGTATCTATCCTTAGAAGCACTAGCATGGTCGATTGCCATTTTTCCATTTTTAAGAACTTTATTTTAATTTCACAACCTTTTAAAGCTGTGTATAAAAAAGAAAAAAAGCAAGATATTAAAAAGAGCAATGTCAGTGGCCTGGAGAATTGAACAAGAGTGATATTCATTGTCCTGTAGAAAAAAAAAACAACAACAAAAGATGTAAAAATGTATTGACAGTGAAGAAAATAAGATTTTTATCATTTTTTAGTAGCTTCCTAGGATGTGGATTTTTGTATATACGTATACTAGGATATATGTGTGAATTGTGTGAGTGTTAACTCCGCACTATGGAAGAAAATATTTTTTTTATCCTCTCCAACAGGAGTTGTGACCTTACTTTACAAAATAAAAATAAAAGCACAGTCACTCCCACAGTGACTATAGTTGCTTGTTACAGTCTCATTTCTGAATGTAATACTACATCTCTGCATTTAAGTAGGTAACAGTTCCAGTTAAAACTGATAGTAGTATTGACCTCAAGAAGATTAGGGATAGAGAATCCCTAATAGTATGTTTGTTCAGTCATTCTTATCCAAAGGTGAAACTACACATATTTCTATTTTACTCACCCTTACTGCTGAAGTATTTTTTACTTTATTTAGTAAAAGTTATAAGAAGCCCAATCCCCTCTGGCCATTGTTTCTGCCTCGAATAAATAAAAATAATGCAAAGATGTAGGGCTCCAGTCAGAAGGAAATTCAAAGAGTCGACAAAAAAATGATAAATGTCTTTAAATGTTTGATACCGTGTGGTACACAGCATTTTTTCTCTTAGTACACACAAGGTGTACTTAGTGAATTCTTCCAGACACAACAGTGATTTACATGATTGTGTCTTAACCGGCCATGCATGTGACAAATGGCTCTGATTCATGGTTGTGTGGTCCGGGTTTTTATTTTATTAGTGACAAAAGATGTGCACTACATCAGCTAAGAATTATATATGTTTGGAAAGGAACATTTTTCTGCAAAGCTTTATGAAGATTTTCTGCCCACATTTGTTACTCTGAGCAAGCGCTAGTAAATTAGCAGTCACAGTGTAAATATGCTGAACGTTGGATATTTTTTTTTCAAAATGAATCATCAGAAACTTTCACTTTCACTTTCGGTGTTGAAACGCGCTTTAATGGAAATAATCTTAATGTAGTTCAGAAACTCAAATGATTGCGGGCGCAGTCCTAATGGATAGATATAAAATCCAATTCAAATTTCATTGACATAACTGATGAATTGCAGTGTTGCCAAAGAAGAAAGTCACTGAAAATTAAGATATCGCCAGACTCACGGCCTATCTGTAATAAAGGAAGGGTAAAAACCAAGGTTAAGAGTATAAAATACAGCCAATCGGCAGTTCGTTCAGCTAGTAATACTTGCCTCTTATTGGGTAAGCTGTGACCTTGACTTTCACAAAACGTGTTATCACAAAGAACGCACAACTGGGACTACTGTACCTGCCCTGTTGTTGGAGCTTCTTTTAATCAGAAGAGTTGCAGAATCTGAAGGACTGCCCGAAAGTTGTGGGTCTAGCTTGGTGAAACACAAAACCTTTAAAACAATTGTCGCTACACGGCATTGCAAAGCTGCTTTGTGCTGCTGCGCTACTAAGTAAAAGGTGATGTTGTTTCTCCATTGCCAATATCTCCTATTTCGTTCTCCATTGCCTGAAAACGAGACTCAGCGTCTCCTAGGCAGCAACAGTTTTATTGGAGATGTAGAAAAGGGAATGCTATGAAAGCCCGTTTCTGCCAGGGATTAAAAAAAAAACGCGCTATGGTACTGTATCTCAGAATTCTGACTTTATATCTCAGAATTGCTACTTACAAACTCAGAATTGCGACTTAAAAACTCAGAATTACGAGTTTATATCTCACACTTGCGACTTCGAAATAGCCATATTTCATTGTCTGTCCTTTTGTTATTGTGACGGATTCGGGTTCTAGGGCTTGTGCCCTCGCCGCTCCCACAATATTTCGTACCTCACTGCATGGGCTCGAACCCAGGTCTTGCCACCTGAGCTAAAGAACACTTAATTCTGAGTTTTTAAGTCGCAATTCTGAGATATAAAGTCATAATTCTGAGTTTTTAAATCGCAATTCTCAGATACTAAGTAGGAATTCTGAGATACTGTACTAAGTCGCAATTCTGAGATACTTAGTTGGAATTGCGAGATACCATAGCGCGTTTTTTATACTCCCTGGCGGATCCCGCCTTCCATAGAATGAAGTACTGAGTCCGTATTCTTTAAAACCTGTATATCGCGTTAATGACACCAACGTTATTCGAATAGTAAAACAGGAAATGTCATTTATGTCTTAATTGTATCTTGCAAATGTTAATTAACAACAGTTAGTTTTCTCAAAAGAAGGAAAACAATAGAAATTCGTCTAGATGGAAAAACGTTCATTCATATAGGTGTCCATCTTTAATTCAGATCAGTAGCTTATTCTCAACATTTTGTTACATATAAATCCGCATTGTTTGTAATTAGTAGATTGTTGCAATATACTGGCATTTCGAAAGGACTTGTTTTAATTTAAGTATTTTCTTTTTGTCAGATCCAGAAGCTGTGTATCACCTACACGATGGTGAGTAAACACAAGTCGCACAGTCCTAAATCTGAATAATATTGTAGCGTTTGCAGGTTCTTTTTCAGAACTAAAGAACAGTGGAGACGCGATTAACCAAGCACTGACTTTATTTAACAACCACACCAAAATCAAACACAGGATCTACACACACATGAGGAGACTGACGAACACGTACACACAGTTAGGGTGGTAATTACCTAACAACACACTCTACTTTTACAGGACTACACAGGGCACTAGAATTACTAGGACATTATTTACACAGGTAGGGTCAGCCGCTGGTCATCGTGCTGACCCTCAGACTCTTCCCGGCTACCACTCCCAGCATGCCCAGCGCTACTACGAGCGCCTAGGGGCGCTTCCTCCTCACCACCAGGCGAGGGCGTTACAATATCAAACACCAACATGGCAGTATTTTGGCTAAAACAATGTTTTACTTGATATTATTTTAGTACATTCAGATTTTTTTTTATTTTCAAAATAAACTATATTAACATTTAATTCTTCTGGCAGTAATTTACAGATTATAATTATCTGATCTATTGTGTCATTTTCTCTACTGTTTACACAGTTGTGAATATAGGCAGGTGAAAGTATATTTCACATGTTTTTTACACAGTCTAAATGGTGTTTCCATTAAATGTTACTGCGCGATGCTCAGTCAGTGTCTGTTATCCCAATAAAATACATTCAGACATTCTAATATGATCACAAAAATGACATTTAATGCAGTTCATGTCAGTGAAGTGTTTTTGGTAAATATCAAGTCAGAAAGTGGCAATCCTACACCTGAAGAAGGTCCCACAGCCAACACGCTGTGCTTCTTTTTTCTCTTTTCAGTATGGAATACACATTTACTTCTTCTTTTGCATCCTACAGTTAACCCAGTTTCATCAGGTTAGAAATTAGTAGAAATATTGAACTCGCATTATCTCATTCATACAGGAAATTTCTAAAATTACTGCAGTAGATATTGAAAATGGTAAGTTTTCTATTTTGTAAATACATTTACAGTGTGACCAGGCTAAAATGCTCCTTAAACCATATGAAGAGGTGGTTTAAGTTAGTCCGCTACTTGAGTGACCTCTAGAGGACAGCAGCTGTTACTTTGTGTTCGTTGCTATTGGGAACGGGTTTATTAAGGTGCTGCGGACTAAGCACAGCGGCAGAATTCGTTGCATTTGGTCTTAAAGTGGAGCACAAGTTTAAACCGCAGCTGCGTATTAAGCACGGGTTGAACTACTGTTAGTACGCTACTTTCAGTTCGTCGCAATTGACCCGCTGTGATCAAATATGTTCTAGACTTTATTTTAGCACTTTCAGAATGACAGGATTATATCTTTTTTTTTAAATAGCTCGGGGGATCCCTAGGTGCTTTGTTTGGCAAAGCTTTGCCTTTCCCCTTTCATTAAGGCTCAGCAGCGTGAAGCTCGCTACATTAAGCGACGCAAGCTTGGTAGCATCTTTCAAAAATGAATGTTCCCTAAAACCTGCCTCAGAAACGAATCCCGGACAAGGTAAAGTCACATTTATAGCACAACATTTTTTACTTCCTCAAAACTGGGTGGAATGTGATAAAGACACACAGGTAATAGGAAAGTGCCGTTCTTCATTTTTTGCCCTTTTTTTTGTGTTTTCATATCACTCCGACTTCGTAAATTCGGTATTTATATTTATATTTGAATTTATGTGAATTTATTTTGTAATAACCCCCCCGACGATGTTTTTGTCTTGAATTGTTATATGTACTCTTGCTTGTATTGTAATGTTTGTTGTTTTTGCAGAAATAACAAAATTAAAATAATCGGTATTTACGTACACTTCGGATGCGCCTGCGTACTCGTCACCGCTGTGCCCGTTTCTGCTGTCCACAGTGCCCTTTCTGCTGCTTTCCTGTTTTTTTCTCTCTAGTTCCGCACTTGGCTTCGCAGCACGATTCTCAGATATATCATCCTCAGGCATATACTGTATAATACACTGGACAAGTCAGGTCCCATCTATTGCTTTATTATACTACTAATGTCGGGTTTACGAAACTCTTAGAAATAGTTCATCCTCCAATTAAGAAAAGTTGTTTTACATTTCAAAAGTCTTGAGTGTAGCAGATTATTATTTTTGTGCACAAAGACCACCATGTCTCGGAGTTTATCTCAGAGTGGTGCAGACGGGCAGGACAGGGGATGTGAGGGCATGAATGGCGCAGGTGGGCAGAATCAGCGGGGGGGGGCCGTACATGCCATCAGCGGCCCTGCAACACACAGAAAACAGCCAGAAATCCGGTTAGTAGTCGGGTTCTGACTCGGAGTCAGGGTCCAAGGCTCTGACAGTTTCAGGCAGATGGCTGGATTACTCTCAGTCAGGTGGGTTTGTGCAAGAAACACTTCGAGAAACACCCTCGGGGTGCAAACCCAAGAACAGTGACAGAGGGGAACGGGCCTTGGTGAGCAGAGGCTGGCTGTGAGCTCGAGGTCACCTGGGGGTTACAGTCAGAAAGCAAGCCTTTTTCGCCGTTATCCCAGGTTACTAATGTTGGAAACGAATAGAAATACTGCGCTTTCATTGCTTCTTCTCATTTTTATAGGAAATGTTTCGAAGTCATTCTTTGTACGCTTTTGATTTAAGAGGTAAGTTTTTTTTTCTGTTTTGCTCGACTTTCCCGTGCTTACAAGATTGGCGGTGTTCCAAAGTCACGCACATTCTCCTACCTCCCTATGTGCTGGAGATACCTTTTTTTAAATACAATTGGCCGCTTTCGTTCGTAGCACGCATTCCTATAGAACGAAATAGAATTACATTGTAGCTCTGTGTCGTAGTACGTGGGCTGCGTATTCGACACGTATTAAAATAAAAAAATATGAAAACCCGTCCCGATTTTTCAGTTCACACAACAAAGTTCCAGGGTCATATGGTGTACCACTCGTACCATAGTTTGAGAACCACTGTACTAAATGATGTACTCTTTCATTAGCATGGTCTTAATACACAACCTGAAGTTGTACTGTAAAACCACTTTGAGAATTGAACAGTCAGTTGATAAAATATGAAGTGTGAGAAATCATCAGCATTTTCTAAGTCCCTTTGTGATCTGTTACTTGCTGTATGTTACTTACAGTATGTGTTTTAATATTCCCTACTTTACAAGTGCTTTTAGTACAGTTCAGTGCTTTAAGATAAATAATTTAATCCTTAAAATACCAAGGCCATGTTGCACATCTAAACAGGAAATTATTCAGTGGCATTTCATCACTACAGAAACAAAAACTGTGATGTTTTTATATTTATTTAATTGGCAGGGGTGTTACAATGTACATACTGTACAATTATTCTCAGCAGGTTTCAGACTGTAAATTCTGTTATATGGACACAGTACCCTGCAAAAATATTCACCCCTTTCTAGTAATGTCCCATATTGTTGAGCTGTAAAAGATGTGAAAAAGAAACTATATGGAAAAACCAATAAAGAGATACAGTAGAACCATATTTGTTCCTTTTACAGTCATTTTAATCACCTATTTAGAAGACAGTTTTATAAACACAACTTTAGAATTGGAGCCATATTTATAATACTGTTATATTGCCTAAATAATACCACCCATTTTTTAAAAAACAGAAATTAAAAAGTCTTAAGATGACAAAAGTGAATATTGGTTGCTTCCTCACATTTCTAGTAATGTCCCATTTTGCTGAATTGTAAAACATGTGCACATACAGTATCTTCCTGGATGTTGTCTGACTCAGATACCATATTTTTGTGATGCAAGAGCAATTGGTCGTTCTCTGTGTGTCCTGCTACAGCTTATTGTATACATGTAGATATTGTTGACACCATCACTCTGCGTTTATTGTACACACTAGAACGGCAAGTGCTGTGTACCTGCAGGTGGGGTAACAGGCGCATAAAATAATAAACACTGTCGTTTAGCAGAATGAGTGGTCAAACTAGGGGTTCTGCTCTTGTAGTGAATGGCAGCAGGTTGTTTGTTTCTTGTCTGGTGGAAAGGAGCCCTAACTTTTTTTTGTAAAGTCCTGTGTGAACCCATTTCCAGTCAAGATAATCATTTAATGTTTGGTGCTACCTTTTTACTACTTTTAGTGACTCTCTTAAACTATACACAGAGTCCACCTGACCTGCGTCCTCCACATACAAATGTGATTCGATACTCTAGGGAGCTCCTGCTACAGTGGAACCAGCCTGGTCCGTGGGATGATTCTGTGGAAATATTTCTGCAGAACACTATTGCGGTGAACATCTCAACAAAGAAAATGAGAAAAAAAACTACATTTGCTTCATAACAGGTTAATGAGTCTGTTTAGAGAGAAATCAGATCTGAAGTAAGAGCAGAAATGAGAAAGGAAAAATTAAAGTAGAAGATAAAATTTGAAGGCAAACTCAGTTCTAATAATGTGATAACTGCATGGAGTGGGATGAAAACTATGGTGGGGCTACAGACAAAAGTAATCTCATCCAAAATCACAGTGCATATTGATGGTTGAAACACCAACAAAGAGCTGGATGATGGACTTAATCATTTTTACCTTAGATCTGACGAGCATGACTTTAGTGGAGACATCAGGGAACTTAAAGAGAAGCTCTCTGAAACCACCAAGGATGAATTTGATACTAAATGTGTTTCAGACATTTTCAAGAATTTGATATTCCTTATTTTTGATATTCCATATTAATGATATGAATCATTAAGGCTAAGGTCATGTGCTGTGTAACTCAGTACAATATTTCATTATATTTTCAAAATGTCTCTGAATCAGAAAACAGTACCCAAAATTTGGAAATAGGCAACAATCATACCAGTTGCTAAACACGAATGTCCCAAGATAAGATGATTTCCGACCAGTGGTATTGACCTCTTTAATTTAGAAGTCATTTGAGAACATTTTGACTAACAGATCACAAAGAGTGATCGTAAACAGTGTTATATCAGAGCCTTGATATAAGAGCAGGCTTACTGGGCCCGCTCTGGGCTGTGTGCCGTCCCCCATCTCATACATTCTGTATTCTGTATACAGACAGATGTAGAAGCCCTTAGGAAGACAGACAAATTATTACATTTGCTGATGACTCTGTCACCGTCAGTCTCCTCCAAGACATAGACACTGATCATGGGCCTGTAGTGGATTATTTCCTCCTTTCTTAATGTGTCAAAAACCAAAGACATGATCATTGATATTAGAAAGCATCCGCTGCCTGCAAAACCAACATTGAGGAGTAAGAAATTGAAATTGTCAAAAGTGTGACGAAATGTGGGCGGGGTCATAGAGGGAGTGTACTTTGGGCTTAGAGTTTTGAGAAGCCTTTACCCTCTTTGACCTGTCTCTTAAAAAAATTGTAGTTTCCTCTGTGTCTCTGTGTAGGAGACATGGAATTTGGACAATTTACCATATATTTTAACTGGTGTGTTTTCTTTCTTACACATGTATGTCTCATTTTTGTTAATGGGTTCATGTGTTAATTATTGTGTGTTATGTAGTGTGTAATGTGTTTGGTCCTTTACCTGCCTTCAGGGTAAAATTCCCTCCTGGGAGAATTAAGTTAAGGAATAGCATTTGTTGCAAATATTGTGCATTGAAATGGGGAAATGATTTTGATATTGTAAATATTCACATCAAGTTATACTGAAGATGATGCATTGATCTGGATCAGAAGATGGCAATCATTTTTTGTGTTCTTTCTCAATTGTACAGATGGTATCCGCCCCTATGTTGTGTTTGCAGCCTTTGGAATTGGACTGGGTGTAGTAATAGGAGGGTGTATCGTTTATGTGTTCACTTCTGAAGACCGAAAACAACAGGGTATGTTACAAATCTCAAATTCTAAACATTTATATTGTGCCTCGTAATAAATACACAATATATTTATAGTCATTTATCTATTAACAATTTAGTACCTAACACAATGTTTAGTCTTTACATTGCTGTCTCACCTGGGTATATGTAGATGGTGCATCTTGTTATTTGTGATCACTTGTGCTGCTTGGAGAACTTGGAGTTCAATTGTGGTAGCCAGACTCTTCAATAAACGGATGTATGTTTTTGTCCTTGTAAGTACGAAAGTTTTGTCCTCTACTTTGTAAAGTGTTTGTAGTGATTTGTAATAGGTAGACCACTTAGTTGTCCTAGTGTCTGCAGGATACACATCAATTGCTACCTACTGTGCAAATTTATTCACAAAGACAGAATCCCTGAGCCCAGGACCTCCACAGTCCAAAGCTACCCTCATTCACCTCCTCAAAGATAGACCAACTTCAGTGCAAATGATAAGAAAGGGACACCATAGTGAGATGGGACAGGTTTCTAAACAAGACTCCCCACAGGAAAGACTATTATTGATTGTGCAAATGATGAGAACTATTTCTCTAAACCATATAATGCATAATGCTCATTTTAGCATGTGCTAAGAGGAACTTATATAGCAGGTATATTTGGTCAAAGGGCTGGTGCTTTGTTTCTGTAGGAAGACACTTAATTGGCTTAATGTGTCTCTACCTGACTGTACCTTCCCCTCCTAAGGAAGTGGTTCTGGTTTCGTCCAGTAATGTCTGACACTGATTTTCCATAACGCCACAACTGGCCTCTTGCACTATTCCAAGGCCAAGGTCTGCCTTGGCAACCATTCAAATTGGTGGAAGGTTGCGGTGGGCGTTCTGGGCTGGCCCGTTGTCTGAGCAAGCCATGTGTGTGCTCTCATGGCCTGCTGGCATGTATTTTTCAAATTGTACAGAAAGTAAAATAGCTGTTTCCTCATTTATATTGGTTTAAATGTTATATGAATCAATGTCATGAGGGCTGAATTGTGGACTGAACTCCATAACATATGAACAGTGGAGGTCATGACTTTCCCCTTACAATACCTGCTACACTCTGTAATCCCACAGTAGAAACCCCCAGACTGAGCGGTTTAGTCAATCAGTGAAATAATTATCCATAACCCCCATCTTGTAAGTAATTTCTAGAAATGTTCCCCGTGTGGTTGGTATAATTGGAGGCACGTGAATTATTTCTCTGGCACAGCTTTGTTGAGAGGAGTAACAATCCAGACACTCTTGGTAAACAAATAATTGTTACAATGACAGGACAGAAACTACACTACATACAACACACAAGTTACCTTATGTACTGTATTTACAAACAAGGTGTTTCGGAGGCCTAGCATTCTGGTGACCCAGAAAACCCCAGACTGCTACTAAACACTAAACTCTTAATATGCCTGCAGAGGCCACACAAGAGATGAGCTGCCTTCTAACTAAATACAATGCATCCTGCAGTTAAATCTCTTTCTGCACCCCAGATGCCACTAAATAAATATGAGCCTATATCCCTATCTATAAAAATACCCACTAAGCAGGAAAGGAAGCAGTGTGCCTCACCTGAAATGCTATACCTGCTGGATCAGAAACATCAGCAGCAGGTGATATTCATTTGTCATTCACATGGGGAATGTCAGAGAACTTGAATATAATGTCACATTACATTATAGGTGCCACAGCATGAAAAGTGATTGTGTGCATCAGAGCCACATAACTCCATCTACAACTGCAGCTTCACCTCTACATTAACATTATAAATTTAGTTAATAACTTTCTTTGACAACCGAATTTGACATGTCTGAAGATGTCCTTAAGAAAAAAATGTATATGAATTGAGACTAGCTCTGGGAGAATCCATTTTTCTGTATCACTTTCAGATCCTGATTTGCTATATTCAAAGTCTCAAAGATGAGAGAAACAGGGGTCACAGGCCTTTTATGCTTCTCTGATAAAACTAGCTGTCAGTCAGTGAAATCTAACCATTTAGGGGAGGTTTATAGGTGTTCAGAGAGAAAGCTATGTTTTATTTGCTTTCCTTTGGTTGTCTGCCAATCAATCAAGTGAAGATCTAACAAACCTTTTTCATTTTCTTGTCTCGCTGACTCCTGGAGCCTAGAAAGACTATTTATAGTGTTTGGAATGTAAAAAAGAGCCTTTCAATGTCTGTAGCTCAACAGCAACAGAATGACGTATATTCTTTTCATGAAAGTGTCCTAATGCGTTTATTTTTTGGAAGGCTCAGAAAATCATGTCAGGACCTGGCTTACTTCACTGCTTCAACATTGATTGACCAGAGACACAACAGAGGGTCCTACAAACTACCCAACATTAACTATTGCTGTCTGTATTTGTTTCCAGCCAATGAGGACCAAAAAGGCCAAAAGGTTCAACCTAAACGTAAGAGCCAAATGACCCAAACGGATCAGCCAGACCACACAGCGAATGGTAAGTAGTAATGAACTGAACTGTACTGAGTAATGAACAACGCTGAGAGGGACAGTAGTCCCGATGCTGAGATTCAACAAGAGGACAATGACTCCCAATCTAAGTCTGTAACTGAGTTTTTACCTCGATTATTGTGACATCTTCCCCACTGTGTTGCAACACATTATAGGTGCCACAACATTAAAAGAGTTTCTGTGCATCAAAGTCACATAACTCCACCTACAACTGCAGCTTGATCTCTACGTTAATACATATCAGTTTAGTTAATAACTTTTCATTTTCTAAGCAACCCAATGTGACAATGTGTCAGATATCCGAAGATGTCTTGCTTCATGTAAAATTCATTATTCTTAAGGAAAATCAAATTTCCTGCTTCACTTTCAGATCGTGAATTTCTAAAATTAAATGGGGATAAAACTCTCAGTGTTCAGATTAAAGATGGGTGACCTTAATTCAGATTGTTAATTAAAGGGCAAATTAATCGTAGTATTACTGTAGCAGGTTTCCAGATTGTGCGACAGGACAACTTCATCACACAGATCTCCATCAACACATGAATCATTCTCTTTTCAATCCTCTTTCCTCAATCCTCTTTGTTCTAGAATGAACATATTTAACTCCTTTATTCCATCTTTACATTTTTAGATATTTGATCCAAATTAAGCCTTTTTTTCAGCCATATTGTGAAGAAAGTCAGGGTATTGGCTCCAATCCTATGGGTGAACAGTTTGTTCCAGATCCCCACTGTGAATGACTCCCAATATGGCACAGACTCCAGCCTTACCTTTAGCAATGGAATAGGAGGTCGGTGAGTTATCTAACATAAGTGACATGTTGCAAGTGTCAATACTGATTGACCAGAGACTCAATGGATGTTCTACAGATTTCCTGACATTAATTCCTGCTGTCTATTTCCAGCCAATGAGGACCGAACCAGCCAAGAGGTTCAAGCAAAACCTGAGAGGGACGAAACAGGCGAAAAGGATCAACCAGACCACACAGTGAGTGGTAAGTAGTAATGTACATTATACAGTATAGTCACAAAGTTGAGAGGGACAGTAATCTTCATGCTGAGATTCAACAATAGACCAGTACATCCCAGTCTAAATCTATAAAGACCAATTCTTTTGCTGTTCATAGGGTACTGCCATGGCCAACCTAAATCACTCTAATGCCTAGATCCCCTGAAGAAAAACATTGCTGTTTCCCTGAATGGGTTTAAGTTGGTGCCTAGAGGTTTCCACCTTCTAAAAAGATTTTTTTTTCTTCCACCTTCTACTGTACAGTGGAAGTGACCCTGGATGTGAACACAATCAATCCCTACTTGTGTGTGTCCAAAGACTGCAGGGAAGTGAGGTGGACAGACAGAAGACAGACTCTCCCAGACACCCCAGAGCGGTTCGATGAATACCCCTGTGTGCTGGGCACCATAGGACTGAACAAGAAGGGGTGCTACTGGGAGGTAGAGGTTGGAGGCAAGATGTCCTGGGAGCTGGGTGTGGCCACAGATTTGGTCCACAGGAAGGGTCAGCTGACATTGAGCCCTCAAACAGGCTTCTGGGTCCTCAGTCTTTGGGATGGGAAGCTGACGGCCCTGACTGACCCAGAGACCCCACTGGACACAGACGTTCCCAGAAGAGTGGGGATCGATGTGAACTATGAGGAGAAGAAGATCCGCTTCTACAATGTTGATGAGGGCACCATCATCTACACTTTTCAAGAGCGAATTGACAGAACAGTCCGTCCTTTCTTCTCCCCTGGGAGCAACGATCAAGACCCTCTGATCATTATCACGTAATTAGAAATTATTAAAAAAGTATCTTTAGTACACTGTGGAAGAAGTAACTTGAGACCTTAGCCTTAAGAAACAATATGCTGGTGTTTAAGCTGTTTTTGCGTTTCTTGTATTACTTTCATTTTGCCATTCTCATAAGAGACAAAGGCCATAGTTTTGCCAGAAATGTAGAAGGTTTAAGAACATCGAGTGTAAATGGAAACTGAAACATTGCAAAAACAATACCATGTTTATTTATGATCCCATACTGGAATTTAGAACTTTTTAAATAAAATGTTTGTTTTTAAAATCATCTGTGTGGTGGTCGGGAAACTTGGATAATGAGATAGAGTACAAGATTTCAGTTTGTGCGTTAGTTTGCTGTGTGGAATAATAAGGATAACTTAAGTTATGCTTAAACAAAAAAAGATTAGAGGAAACCAGAAGTGTTTTGTGGCGTGCCTCATCCCAAGGTACAGTAAGTGCTTCTGGCCAATATGGTTATGCCTTTTAATGGAATATACTGTGTAGTGACAATATATCTTATGACATATATGAAACTGACTTCTGTGTGCTGTATAAACAGACATGTTGTGTTGACACCTGTTGTATTCACAAAAGAACCTGTTTAACACCTATGCGCTTTAGATCTTTGCCACTGTGTCTTGATGACCGAGTGGTCAGGGTACCGATGACTACCATCGCGGTAGCCCACACTGAGGAAATGGTTTGGAGAACGTCTGGCGCGGATAGCAGAAGGTGGAGTTTCTCTTGGCCAGCTTGTCCACTCGGGGGCAGTCTGATTTCCCTTGGACGTGTCCGACCGTAACCCAGTTGAGGTTGCGGCTTTCTTAGCTAATGCATATAGAAAGAAACAGGATACAGAAAGTAGTAAGACGTTCTCCTTAAAATGCGTAACACGAAACCCCGAAATACAGAGGACACAAAATAGGAAGAAACTGAGTCAGGAAAAACCTGATTAAACAGGTAAACTAACAGCGTTGAAATCATATTATGATCCAGGAAAAGGGTGTTTATCTTGTTTCAGTATAGCATGAACAGTTCCTGATTGTTGTAACCACATGACTCATCTCACATGATATTGTAACAGTTCAGTACTGAAGTGCGAGTCGAGTGCTCAACCAGCAGGCTGGTTGCTTTTCCCACCAAAGTAAATAGTTAAAAACAGAACTCTTCTCTTCGGCTATATTTTGTTGAATTAAAACTGATCATGCATAAACCTCACAGGTAAGAGTTTTATTCTTTTATTTAGTTTTATTCTATTATCAGTTATCTGTCGGCTATCCACAGCTGACAATACTGTATATTTTATGTTTTACGGTGGTTTTCAATGCACCGTTACCTGAACAGTAAGTACACTTGATAAAAAAAAAGTTCTAAAGGTTGTTTGGTCAGAAAAGCTGTGCTAGAAATGTTAGTGTATTTTGATTCCATGTGTCTCCAGATATTTAATGTTGTCAACCCGAAAACTTAATTAAATTATACATTTACGATTCCTATACGCGAACCTACAGTACATAGATTAAACCTTACATTTCTACTTACTGTATGCAGCGTTAATTGAAGCAGCGAGAGACTCCACGATCTGCAGGATATTAATCACCAGATAAAAAGGGGTGCGGACGTATGGCAAGTAACGGCAGAGAACTGGTTTTCAATGCTCTAAAGTGAAACCGCCTTACGGTATTTGTAGCATTGTGCGAAATATGAGATCTAGATGCTTTTGAAATAACGACACAGTGCATGCAGTTGTACATTTTTAATCAAAGCCACAGGTGGATTCGTCGGTAAACAATCCTGCCTAACAGCTGTTAGGGTCTGAGTTCGATAACTGATTGGGGGCGCTCTCTTTGTGATCTTTACAACTTTTCCTTGCTCTTTCCGGGTGCTCTTTTGTAACCCCCAGGATTCAAAGACACTCTGGCCAGATTTGGGGGTGTTTCTGAGTTATCCGTGTGTGTCTTGCCTTGCTTGTTACATTTCAGGGATAGACTCCGGGATACTCCCTTCCCAGGAATAAGACCATTTCCGATGGAAGCTAGAATGTGTCTGTATCATATTGGCATTTTAGCTTTTTTCCCCGACATAAAACATCAACTGCATTTGTAACAAAATGACTGAAGACGAAATTTTTAAAAGTTTTTTTATCAGTTCCGCTTTCTATATTTGCATTTTATATTTGCATACCAGTTGTTTCTTTTCTATATATGACACATACTCATTTTTCTGTAGAATTGGTAATGGTAACTGGTACAACAAACGCTTGTATCGTTATCTGTACTGGTATTGAAAATGATTTATACACAGTGTCGGTGTTTAATTCTTCACTGTGTGCAATAACACTGTGCAACAGCTGCGTTTAGTGTTCTTACAGAATAAGACATTGTACTTTGGTTACAATGGACCTTGAACATATATGATGTTTCACTTATATATATATATTTAAATACAGAATCTTCCATCCTCAATATTAAGAGATCGGCTAGAACATAATTCAGAGGTACTGTATATCATTGTACTATAGAAAAGAAAAAAAAACTCAAAATTGTTTTGATCTGATGAAAATCTTGTTTTTAGTCTCCGTTGACGTTGATCTTATAGTTTCATAGAAACAGTCCCACGCTATGTGTTCTTCACAGTTTCACAATGGGGTCCTTCTGGCAGTTGGCACTGCTGGGCTGTCTGTTAAGAGCTTGTGTAGCAGGTAAGTTAGTGAATTTGGTGAGGTGTGTTGTTCTTTTTATTTTTCTTTGCAAAGTGTGAGGACACCATTACGACAGCACATAAGGCAGTGTCATGTCATGTGAATTGTGTTGTAATA